CATCCATATCAAAATAGTTTAAATCATTTTTTAACTAAATTAGTGATATTATTTATCAAAAATGGACCTTCATCAGTCTCGCTACACTAAGTCGCTAATTTACGAGTATTATAGTATATCGCTACAACAAGCGAGGTACTGTCCATCGCTACAACACGGAGATTAGTGTTATCGGATGTCTGCCCGAAAGTTCGGCTGGTCAATCGGTCAAAGGTCAATTTTTTTTTATTTTTTTATATTTTTTAAGAATTGTTTGGCTGATAACTCATTAATTTAATAAAATAATAATAATAATAAACACAATAAAAAAATAATATTTTAATAAAATTAAATTAAAATAGAGAATTTGATGCAATAAGTACTAAAGATGTGATTAATTAAAATAATAAAATATATATTTTTTTATGTGTTATTTAACTAAAATTTTGAAGAAGCCGGTGTGATGCTCTAATAGTTTCTTGTTTATCAAAACAATAATGATTCATCCCACTAAAAACATAACCACTAATAGCACTAATGCATTAAAAAAATAAAAAATAAATAAAAATAAATACAACTCCAAGACCAAAACATCACATCATTAATGACGGGACCCACTACCACCTAATTAGTGGGAGCACTAATTAGTGCTCCCAAGCATTTTTCTTATCAAAAAAGCTACCAAACAAAGCTCAAACGCCGTTAATCATAAATACCCTCGCTGGAGAAGGCAGGCAGTCGCAATCAACGGCCCAAATAGAGCCGAATCCCAATCACTTTAAAATCTACGGCCTGGATTCTCCAAAGAAGAAGCAGTCGTCGCACACACCGTTAAGAAAAGTCTGAAGAATTAGGGCTTTCTGGTTTTATATATATAGCCCTAAATCGCATCTCTGCGCTGTTTGGTTGGAACAGAGCTCTCTCTATCGGTTCTGTGTTTTTTGGTCTCCATTTCTGCAGGAAATCATGGCCAAAGGTCCTGGTCTTTACACTGAAATTGGCAAGAAAGCACGAGGTTCTCTCTCTCTCTCTCTCTCTCTCCGTGTATACATGTATGAATCATGTATCTATGTTTCTTGTTGAGTTATTGGTGTGTTGATTGTATTTTTTGAGTGATTTAATTTTTTAATTTTTATGCTAGATCTTCTCTACAAGGACTACCAGAGCGACCACAAGTTCACTGTCACAACCTATTCTCCAACTGGAGTTGTGAGTTTTTTTGCTCATTTTCCTTTCTCAGATCTTTTTACTCACTTCATGAAGCTAGTGTTTCTATCCCTTTTTATGTGATTATATTATACGTGTGTATGTATGCTGTTATTTCAGTTTATGCTGTATAGATTTGTATTTGTATATTTGTATGTATGTATGAGCATCTGATGCTAATTGTCTCAATGAAGCCAAGTGCATTATTGAATGGGGTGGACCTTTTTTATTTTAAGTGTGATTTTGGTGCTTTTGCTTTTTTGTAATTGACTTTTTTTATAAAGAAAAAGAAAAAGTGAGACCATGAATTTTGATGGGTTTTAAGTGGTGTCTATTAGTATCATCACCTTATATAGTTGGCATCACGGGCGATTTTTGAACTATTATTATGCATTGATGCTTAGCCAATATACCTTTTTACCATATGTTTCATGATCTTGAACAGTTCTCTTAAACTTGTATAAGTGACAATTGACAATGGGAATTGGTAGCATCATTGCTTGTGCATTTTGTTAGTGGTTTTGGCTTATCTTATTGTCTATGTTACTGGTTTTCTTTCAGTTTGGTTCATTGATTGAATTTGGAAAGAGCTATTAGTTTACGGGTTTTCAATACATTTTAGGCATTAAATAAATCGATGACTATGCTTTTTTTCCTTTTGCTAAGATGCTGAATGACAGAGGAATTGTTCAACTTAGGGCCTGTTTGGTTGTGCAACATGAATTATTTTATTTTTAACTAAAACATTCAAAATCTGCAAGTTCATAGCTGAGTTGGTTCTAAATTTGTTTAGGATTTGAGCATAATAAATTTTGAATCTTCCAATTCTAGATAATCTGCAAGTTCATATATGAGTAATTCAAAATTTGTCTGAGTTTTGAACAAAATAGATTTGAAGTCTCTTAATTTTAGATGTTTTGCAAGTTCATAAATGAGTTAATTCAAAACTTGTTTAGTTGTAGAACTATATAGATTTTGAATCTCCTAATTTTAGATTGTGGGATCTTTTGTTCTAAAAGAATTAAGAAAATATAAATTTTCTTGAAGATTGTAGTTAGATTTCTCAGTTGTTTCATTTCTACAACCAAACAATCATAACTAATTATTTACTATGTAGATGAGCAAAGTCTAAAATGGATCAATACACATTTTTAAGACAACCAAATGTTATCTTAATCATTAGTTATTTAGCTGTTTTCAAGTTCTTGTATGTTCTTCTATTTTTGCTAGGTAATTGCTTCATCTACCCCCTTGTTTGAAATTTTCTGACTAGGCTTCTATATGTTAATGTCGGTTTGGCACAATTTTTAATTTGTTCATCAGTTTTTTAACTGGATCAATATTGGCTTGTATTTTCTCATCTTAGTTGATACATTCCCTAGGGCTTCGACATGCTATTTATTACTTCCGTCTGACTTAAGCAATGTGTGCCATAATTTAATGTTAGTATAAGAATGTTAATTTTTGTCCCCCTCATTTCAGGTTATTACTTCATCTGGAACGAAGAAAGGCGACATATTTATTGCTGATGTCAATACTCAGTTGAAAAACAAGAACATCACAACTGATATCAAAGTGGACACAAACTCCAATGTGAGTTCCGTCTTATATTTTTCTGTTCAATTTTTTAGCTCCAATGTGAGTTACTTTTCTGTTCAATTACAAAAAAAAAAATCTTGTATTCAATCTCTTACACTTCAATTATCATCCAAAACTTACGAATTAAATTAAATGAATGCATTATCTGATTTGTGAAACCAAATTCTGATAGTTGATCTCCAGTTTTTACTCACTCACCCATGGGTACACAAGGCTTAGGGCCCATGAGCATTTTGCACTATGAATTCAAGTTGTTGATTACCTCAATATGTCTATTGCAATTTGAAACTATTTTGCTCTTTCCATGTGTTAATATGTTGATGTGTTCTACGAACTTGTATATATGTGGGTTTCTTTAACTCTGCCTTTGAAGTCATAGAAGTAAAAGATGATTGCATTGATAACTATAGATCTCTGTATTATCTTGTTTTTGCACATGCAGCTAGGCTTAAGCATTAGGTTGTTACAAAATAGAGATTGAATTGTATATTATGCACAGTCAATGCTATGAAAATCTCTCATGCCTTAGGCTATAGTGCATTTGGAACATTTCTGAGAACCACATTCAGTTTCTCTCACTCTCCAGATAATGGTTTGATTTGATCATCTAACTGATGTTTTGCTTATGTACTAGCTTTGTACTACTATTACTGTTGATGAGCCTGCTCCTGGATTGAAGACGATCTTTAGCTTCAAGATTCCTGATCAAAGGTCTGGCAAGGTAAGCAATCATTGCTTGATTTCTGTAGTAAAAACTTTTTGTACTATGGTGGTCTCGGCGGGATCACTTTTCTTTTTTCATGTAATGCATTTGAGGGAATTTGGTCTTTTGATATTGTACATCAGTTTGAGCTATTATGTCACATTTAATTTTTATTATACCTAAGTTCGAGGTGTTGCGGATGATTACTGATCTGTCAGTGATTTGTGACAGTTGGAAGTTCAATACTTGCATGACTATGCGGGGATAAGCACAACCATTGGGTTGACAGCAAACCCTATTATCAACTTCTCAGGTGTGGTAGGGACTAATGTTGTTGCACTTGGGACTGATGTCTCCTTTGACTCCAAGACAGGGGACTTCACCAAATGCAATGCTGGATTGAGCTTCACCAACTCAGACCTTATCGCGTCCTTGACCCTGTGAGTTGTTTCTTGTGCAAGATGATTATTTTCATTTTTTCACCACTTTTTTAGTGGTACCTTCTTATCCTCATTTTTGTGACCAGGCATTTGATAGTACTTATCTTCATGGTTTATAAAACTAAGCTGTTCTTCCCCTTGCATGCACATGTATCCTGTTTGTGGTTCATGTTGAACATTTGATGGGAAATTTCTGGTTCCTGCCCTTATCTTGAGCATGTCTTCACAAATGATATGAGTACACTAAATTTGGTTATCAGATGATTGCAAGATTTAGAGAATTTTAGTTCTGAAGCTTATTAATTCATAGCTGTATTGCTTGCGTGGCTGGTGTTTTATGTTTCTTCGGCGCATAATGTGGTGAGCTTGTGTTGATTCAGGAATGACAAGGGTGACTCTCTCAATGCATCGTACTACCATACAGTGAACCCCTTGACCAAGACAGCTGTTGGGGCAGAGGTAATACACAGCTTCTCATCCAGCGTGAACACCATCACCATTGGCACCCAGCATTCATTGGATCCATTGACCACGGTTAAGGCCCGGGTTAACAACACCAGGAAGGCAAGTGCACTCATCCAGCATGAATGGAGGCCAAAGTCACTTTCACCATTTCTGGAGAAGTAGACACCAAGTCTATCGACAAGGGGGCCAAGTTTGGGCTGGCATTGGCTCTCAAACCGTAGGTGGGGAGCAATAACTGTTGATGGTTGGGAGTAATGAGTTGAGCACAAGGAAGTAGCGTAGTTGACTGCTTAAACTTCTGTTCCTTTATCGGTTGATTCTCATCTTTTTGATGGTTTTTGGATTGTAAAAATAATTCTAGAGGATTTATATAAATTTGTTTCAATACTTAGTTCTTACATTCCCTTGGTTAAACTGGGTAGTACCTGATATTTGAAGATCTTTATGAGTAAGACTTGCGATTTTTTTTCAATTGGATGGTGTGCTTTTTAGAAGGAAAATTGTTTCATCTGGTCCAGGGTGTTGTATCTAACCAGGTTTTTCTGGTAGCTGCCAACGTTTACAATTATTTGATTGGCTGTACTTCTAAAGCATGATGAGTATTTCAATTTGAATAACTTGCTATATATATATATATATATATTTGCTTCTGCGCATGTTCAGCTGGTTGTATACCTGATTGATCATTGTTTATTGAGCATCAGATGACTATGAAGTGTCCATGTTGCTGTAGGGCCCTGAGGCTATACTATGGACAACATTTTTTATGGGTGGAATAATGTTTGTTACTAGAATTTTTTTTTAGAACTTTTATACTAATAATGTCCACGGGAAAACTCTTTTCACACTACATTTATAAACAAAAATGAATTGTACGAGTATACATTCGTTGAGCAGGTCTGAACAACTGTTTTTGGTGGTGGTTTGTTGCTCTTTCAATCAAATCCAAATTGTCCAGAATCTGGTTCATAAATTTAGCGATGCGGTTGCCATATTATTTTGGACGGTGGTATTACATGCACCATTTAGTGTACTAACACTGGTTATGTCATTATTATGAATCTCACTCATTATACAAATATTAAAAATATCTTAAAGTATGTCACATCATTAATTAGTACACTAGTTATTATACTAATTAATGTATATAGTATTATGAGCATATTTCGGATGGGCTTTATCAACCAAAAATTTAAAAAAAAAAAAAATTATTTGTGAATCTCTTTGGTTGATTTATATGTGAATGCATGACTATTTTTCTTGTAGGGCTGATTTATATGGAATGCATGATTTATATGGTATTGATTTTAGTAGGTTATGTAAATGGAGTTCACAAATAAGAAAATGTTTCACAAGCAGAACTTCAAGATATTTGCAGTTATAAATCAAAATTATGTTTTTTTCAACTTTAAATAAAAGGTCTACAGAAGGACAACATTCTGTTTTAAATTTTTGAATAAAAAAATTGTTTACATAGCATTAAAATATGTTGCCATTGGTTTCAACAAGTTTAGCTCCTTCAAAGCCTTCCCCTTGGTTAAATTTCAGGCAATGCCTTATCTTAGGACATCGCCCTATAATCAGGATAAGATACAAATCCACTTGATAACCAGGATAAGATGCAACAAAATACTTCGTACAACATTGTAACAACCCAAGTTCTTAAATAAACAAACATTTTGTTTCCTTCAGGATGTTTCCAGGACACACATTGCAATTCCCCCATCACACCAAACCGAAAACCAAACACCAGAATTAATCCCGGAAAACAAACTTATTCTGCACAACATTTGTTTCAAAACACGATAAACCCTATAGAAGCGTGGCTTCTTGTTGAGCTGATGATGCCTGAAGCAGCCCATCCCTAATCTGCTCAGCTATTTCGCGAACAGCTCCAGGTCCATGTGGGATGAAGACGGCCGAGGACTTGGAGGATGCACCAATTTCCTTCATGGTGTCGAAGTACTGTGTGATTAGGACCATGTCCATGACGTCCTTAGCAATAGTCCCCGGCACATTCATTGAGAAGCCAAGCACACTTTCTCTTAGACCGTCCACAATTGCCTATCGCTGCCTAGCAATACCCAATCCTGCCAGATACTTAGACTCGGCATCGCCCTCTGCTCGCTTGATTTGTACAATTTTCTCCGCTTCTGCTTTCTCATTAGCAGCTACCCTCAACCTCGCAGCTGCCAAATTTCAATTTTTTTAGTGACATCAAAAGATCCATTGTTTTTTTTTTTTTTTTGTTGGTTTATTTCATTTTTAGTGAACTTTCTAAAAAACAATTCACTTCACTGAAAGACAAAAATAAGTCAAATTCTGTTTAAGAAAAGCCTATAACCCAACTTATAAGATGCCACCAAAAGAACAATACTGGTAATGAAAAATCATCGATTTCATTGATTTCGCGGGGACTAGAGAGCTTACCGGCATTGATTTCATTCATGGCTCGCTTACGTGCTCATCAGGTTCAATATCAACAATGAGTGTCTAAACAATCTCATACCCCTAGGCAGACATAGCCTGTGAATCATCAATGTTAAATCCAAGCACAATAATGTCAAATTCAGTTTACATAATTGTTAGTCACGCTAGTTCTTTCTTTACCTTTTCAAGTTCATCTTCCACAGCTCTGGCAATTTCATTTTTCTGCTCAAAAGCATCGTGTCTAGGTTTAGCTTTGGAACACTTGCTCTGATCACTAGTAAAACAGTTCAAATAAAGAAATCCCTTGCTTATTTTTTATTACAAGTAATTTAAAAATTTGTGTTAGACTTCCTTCAAAAAAAAAAAAATACACATACCATCAAATACATAGGCTTGGATTTGGGTTCTAGTATTGCTGAGTCTGTAGAAAGCATCACTCCCTTTGTTAGCCAGGGCTCGGTATTGTATAGATGCAACAACATTCACAAATACATTATCCTGCAGTAAAATAAAAATGAATATTCATTTTTAGATTCAAATCAAGAAGTTATTATACTGTTGAGAAGAAATATTTAATTGTAAGTTGTCGTTGCGAGTTCAATTTATTAGGTTCTGAAAAGGAGTATAAAATGAACCAAGCTACTCGAGTATATAGACAAAACGAAACCTTAGTCTTAGTTTCGCATCGCACATCCAACTGCTTTTGAACAAAGTCAACTTTTATTAAAACTTTTCAAAACCATTTTCGATATGGATCAAAACTGGGCATCCTGAAATCTGTCACTGAGATGCACAACCTCGGATCCTAGCAACTGGAAAGTTGCCCCTAGTCTGAAGAGTACCGCGGCACTGCACAGCAACGGAAAGTTGCCCCTAGTCTGAAGAGCACTGCACCGGAGATCATAACCGAACTCTTGAATGCTGAATAGACAAAGATGGCCGAGATGATCAAATGGACAAAGTTGATCGGGAAAAAGTTTATGGCTGAACTTCAGGATGAAGTTGCCTACGTATCCCAAAGATGAGAATCAAGCCTTACGTAGTTCAAGCTTAGGTTTACTCGAGTATTTTCACTTTCCTTTTACGCTTTAACTTTTGCCAAGGTCGCCCTTTGCGGGTTTTCAACCTTGCGAGCTCAGTTTTTATATTTTCCAATTTTTCAATGCTCTAACTTTTGCCTAGGTTGCCCTTTGCAGGTTTTCAGCCTAGCGAGTCTCTGAGGGGTAATATTTCTTCAACTTGTCCATGTTGATCGGTTGCAAGAACTCCAAGCCATCTAGGTCCATTAGAACCACAGCTCCACCTGACCAGATTGACTTGATGATGTAGGGACCAGTCCAATTGGGTTTGAACTTGCCCCTTGGGTCATGGATGGGAGCTCGGTCCTTGAGCACCAAATCTCATTCTTTTAGATTCCTGGACTTAACTTTTTTGTTGAAAGCCCGGGCAATTCTGCGCTGATAGCCTTGAACATGGTACAGTGCTTTCAGTCTGCGCTCGTCAAAAAGCATGAGTTCTTCAAATCTGTTCAGTTGCCAATCTGCTTCGGCTATCTGACACTCAGCCAGCACTCGCAAAGACGGAACCTCAATTTCAATAGGTAGAACAGCCTCCATTCCATAAACTAATGAATACGAAGTCTCCCCAGTAGAAGTTCTAATTGAAATCCGGTACCCTCACAGAGCAAACGGCAGCTTGTCTGGCCAATCCCGGTAGGTTTCCACCATCTTCTGCAATATGTGTTTGATATTCTTGTTGGTGGCCTCAACAGCTCCATTGGTTTATGGCTGATATGTGGATGATTTATGAAAAGCCATGTTATATTTCTCCAACAAGTCGATCACTTCTTTCTTGAAATGGAAGCCATTGTCTAAAATGATCTCATTGAGGACTCCATAACGGCAAATGATATTATTTTGGATGAACTTAGCCACATGCGCTGCTTTCAACACTGCATAAGACTGAGCTTCCACCCACTTAGTGAAGTAATCAATTTCCACTAGAATGTATTCTTGCCCATTTGACCCTTTTGGTGTGACTGCACCGATGACGTCGATTCCCCAGATTGAGAAAGGCCACGGTGAAGTCATGTTGTACAGCTTCGATGGTGGGATATTCGTGTGATTGGGATGCATTTGGCATTTGTGGCATCGCCGAACAAAATCGATACAATCCTCCTCCATAGTAGACCAGTAATAACCTCGCCTGAGAATCTTTCGGGCTAACATTACTCTGCCCATGTGCGCTCCGTACTCTCTTCCATGGATGGCCTCTATTAGGTGCTTTGATTCCTCTGTGTCAACACACAACTTGTACATTCATAGATGACCTCTCTTGTACAGTTTACCTCCGCAGATGATAAATTGAATGGCCATCCACCGTATTGCCCTTTTGTCTTTGGCATTTGCCCCTGGTGGATAAAACCTCATTTTCCAAGAAGTTCCAGATATCATAGAACCAAGGGTTTTGATCTTGTGCTTCATCTATTACAGCGATAGTCTCGTAGGCCGGCGTATATCTCTGCTCAATGATGATCGGGCGCATCCAGACTCCAAACGGGATGTCTATTATGGATGATAGAGTTGATAAAGCGTTAACAAACCTATTATTCTCTCTTAATAGATGAGTGAAGGTTAGCTTTTCAAACCTAGGAATCAAAACGTCCAGGGTTTAGTGATAAATCTTTATCTTCTCTTCTTTGACCTTCCAGTCTCCTTTTGCTTGAGACATAACTAGGTTCGAGTCCCCAATGATGTCCAACCTTTTTGCCCCTAGTTCTAGGGCGGCTTCCAAACCAGCGATACACGCCTCGTATTTTGCTTCGTTATTGGATACTTTGAACCAGAGTTTAAAGGCTAAGGGTATATGGGAATTGTTGGGTGCTATTAGCAACACCTCTATCCCATAACCATACTGATTAGACGCTCCGCCAAAGTACATTGTCCAAATCTCTTCCTCGACTTGCAGAATAGCTTCATCTGGGAACAGGTATTCTATTACTTCATCCCTTTCCACTGGGTGATCTACCAGGAACTCCACCATAGCTCTCCCCTTAACCGACTTGTAGTGCCGCAGCTTCCTGGTAGCCCATACCAAGGCTAAGCAAGCCTTCTCCAATGGTGTGTAGCGAGTCTCATACTCCAACATCTTCTTGCTCAGATAA